CGCTCTCCACCAGCCCCTGCACCAGACTGAAGCTCACCCTGACCCCGTGACCCCCCTCCGTCTCCACGGCGACGCCCTGCTGTCGTTCGGCGGCGATGAACGCGGAGAGCTGCCGCGAGTAGCTCTTCAGCCTCGTGTGTCTGAACTGGAACAGGGGAGTCGCGTACCACAACTGCCACTCCGTCTTTGTGAGGAGAGAGACGAGAGCCGGGTCCAGATGCTCCTGAGGAAATACAAGACAGTAATATAAAAATACACGAACAATAAAGCTCCAATGATTTATCAGAACAATTGAGACTAGTCCACTCAAAATAAAAGTAAATATCATTATTTTATTTATCAGAACGATCGAGATTAGTCGACTCAAAATAAAAGTAAATATCGTAATTTGATTTATCAGAACGATCGAGATTAGTCGACTCAAAATAAAAGTAAATATCGTAATTTGATTTATCAGAACGATCGAGATTAGTCGACTCAAAATAAAAGTAAATATCGTAATTTGATTTATCAGAACGATCGAGATTAGTCGACTCAAAATAAAAGTAAATATCATAATTTGATTTATCAGAACGATCGAGATTAGTCACCGTGAACGCGCCAAACAAACAAAACCACTGACCCATCCAACTGTTGTGTTTCCTTTAAAGTCCGGTGCGGTTTATTTGTGAAAAAAGTTCAAAAATAGACCATTTAATGACAGTGCGCCTTATAAACCAGAGCGCCTAATAGTGCAGAAAATATAGTATTTTAAAAGCTAAAATGTGTCTCATCGACAATTTATCAGCCTCTTTAAAATATCACAATAAATATCGTACTGTGAGATTTAGATATCATTACATCCCTAATTATTAATAAATAATATACTTCGGTCACTATATAATCTGTGTTGGTTTGTTTTCTGATTAAAGTTTTTACCAGTTTTCTATGTCTAAAAATAAATTTGATATTAATAATGATTACAAAAATACAACAAACATAATTTAAGTAAAATTTGTCACATTTGGGCATAACATCCAAGTCAGTGATTGTAAATTCATTAGTTATAGTTCAGTTCAGTATTAGTAAATTAATATTTCATTTCATTTATTTATTTACAAAAAAAAAAAAAAAAAAAAAAAAACAATAACAAAAAAACAGGGATATATACATGAACATATCTGGGACCTGTTGCTCAAAATATTTACTTCAATTTGTTATTTGTAACTTCTATGCAATTTTTAAGTTATTTCTTAGCACCATCTCCAATTGTTTGTCGCTGTGAAATTTCCTTTGGGATTAATAAAGTTTCTGTCTAAATGTACAAAAATCTCAACAAAGAGTTATTATTTTTGTACTACAGCGTCAGACAAATATACCCGATTATACAGACTGTAATATTCTCGACAAAAGCGTAATTATAAATCGGGACTGACTTTGATATTGTGCGGTCTGGGCGGTCTCCTGCTCATGTTGAGTCGTCGGGCCGTGAGTCCCGGAGTGAAGCAGAGACGAGACGCGGCTCCCAAACAGCTCCTGTACGACTGACGGTAGCTCTTACTCTTACTCCTCCTCTGCACCAGGGCGGGGCTGGAGGGCGTCCGCACCCCGCCCGACTGTCTGAGGGAGAGAGAAAGGACCAGTTTATTATTTAAATTTATTATAATGCACCTTTATCCACCAGTAAAGCTATTTAAATGACCTTGTCTATGTCAAAAGAGACACAAGACTAAATATGGACTTCACCCAGAGATCCAGTTTCAGATTCATCCTGGTTTAGTCCAAGTTTCTGTCCAGGTTAGTCATGATGTGTGCTTAGTCTAGAACAAGCTGTACTTTAGTCCCAGTTTTGTTGTGGTGTGTTGTGTGTGTGCAAATGTAAATAAGGTCCAAAAAAGTGCTATCTTTTCCTTCACAAACAAATAAATCTCCTGTTTTATTGTGCACAAACACTGCTGACCCTGTAGTTTAGAGCTGCACAAACATGCTCTGAAATGTGATTCTTGTTTAATTTGTCAGTTCAGACTTTAGCCTTTTTGTTAATTCTTCTGGACGTGTTTAAAATGTGAAATTTGCACAGAATCCTATTATAAAAACATAAATTACAACTCGATTATTCCCAAATTGTTCAGATCTGTGAATAATCAACTAGTAAATACATAGTAGTAAATGTGGCCACACCGGCTTGTCAGAGCCTGATCCCGTCAGATCTCAGAAGCTCAGCAGGGCCGGGCCTGGTCAGGACTTGGATGGGAGACACTGGGAAAATCAGGAGCCACAGGGGGGCGACAGTTGCAAAAAAAAAAAACTGTTGTTGTGTCCTTAGGCAAGACACTTCACCCACATTGCCTAGAATGAAAGTGGTGTGTGTGTGAGTGATGGTGGTGGTGGGAGGGACCGATGGCGCAGATTGGCATGGCAGCTGCGCTTCCATCAGTCTGCCCCAGGGCGGCTGTGGCTACAATAGTAGTTTACCATCATCAGATATAGAGTGACTGAATAATGATCTGTAAAGCGTCTTCGTGACATGTGTCTGTGAAAAGCTCTGTATAAAATAAACACAAGACTTACATCCTACATCATGACAAAAGGTTGACCAGTGGTAGAACATTAATAAAAGTAGAACTGCTTTTACACCAAATGTAGAGTCCAGGTGGTTAATACTGTAAGTGTAGGTCACATTTCCATGCCAGTTCAGTTTAGCCAAAAATGTAATAACAAATCAACTTAAGACATCAAATTGTTTAAATCAGGGGTCTCCAACCTTTTTCTTCCGGTGAGCTCCTTTTACAAAACAAAAATGCCAGAGAACTACTAATTTTAGTGGCCGAAAGAAATTGAGACGATTAAAAAAGAGGGCGAGCCTTTGGGTACAGTTAGACGCCTATAAAACATAAACCACTGTCCATTTATTAGTGCACAAACTTGGACTTCAAAATGATACATGTACAGTACAAGGTAAGTAATTAAAATTCAAGTTTTTTTGTTGATTACAGAACAACCATTGAGAGTGGTGGAAATAAAATTGTAACGAGTGCAGGAATATTGTTCTAAAATCGGCACTAATCTGAGTCAGTATAGCCACATTTTCTTTGTATTTTGGCAGATTATCTGTGTTTTACCTAAACAAATTCCAGTTTATGTCTCTCTTTACTGTCGGCAGGGATCAGATTAGTCAAAAATAGGGACACCAGGGACATTTCTTGTGTAAAACTGGGACAAATCAGTGGTTTTGGATAAATCTGCTGGGACACAGGGCTCAAAACTGGGACTGTCCTGAGAAAATTGTTATGTACTTGGCACTAATTGGAAACAGTATAGTCAGTTTTTCTTCATTGTTTTGGTTGTTTTTAAGCAGCTTTTCTATATTTTACATAAACAAATGACAGTTTATGTCTCTCTTTACTATTGACAGGGATCAAACTGGTCAAAAATTGGAAATTTCTTGTATAAAACTGAGATAAATCTGCTGGGACAGGGGACACAGGGCTCAAAACTGAGACTGTCCCAAGTAAATTGTTATGTATTTGGCACTAATCTGAGTCAGTATAGTCACATTTTCTTTGTGTTTTGGTAATTTTTAAGCAACTTTTCTATATTTTACATAAACAAATGGCAATGTATGTCTCTCTTTACTGTTTGTAGGTCTCAAATTGGTCAAAAATAGGACATTTCTTGTATAAAACTGGGACAAATCTGCTCAAAACTGGGACTGTCCTGGATATAAGTTGCATCTGGTCACTTTAGAGAGGCATTACATGATTCGTCATTGTTATAACGTTAGTAAAACATGACAATTAGACATAAAAAGTAATTTAAATTAGATTTAGTTGTAATATTATCAGAGAAACAATAAGACGCTGAACTCAAACTGAAATCAGGCTCTATTTGTACTGAAACTAAACACAGAAAAGGTCTATTATATTAACCTAACGCAGTAACAGCCTTTATAGTGCATTTTTGCTTTATAAATAAGCACGTAAATATAAATTGCACACAAAAATTGTAACTTAAGTGGTTAAAATTCTCTCTTTTGTGGTCGTGTTACGGATTGTGGCTAGCCTTGGTCGTTTGCATTCACTATGACGACAAAGATTTAAACTAAACTCAAATAATTTGTGGTTATAAATACGTAAATATAAGTCGGAAATAAATTGCAAGCGTTTATGTTTGCGGAATAAAAGCAGAGAGAGACTTTATACCTGTTTTCTTTTTCGTCCATGCCCGATTTGTTTTCGGCCGAAGCGGAACAAAGCCGGAAGTGATTTTTAAACCTCGCGCTCGAATCGGCCAATCAGAGCGAGGCACGCGCTTCCTCTACGGGGTCAGGCTCTCCTCGCGCACTGCTGACACCTGCTGGCTATAAACTGTAACTGCAAATTATAATATCCAATAATTGTATTTATTTATTTAGTTAGTTAGTTAGTTAGTTAGTTAGTTTTACTTTTAGTTTTATTTATTTATTGAGTTATTTATTTATTTAGTTAGTTAGTTAGTTTTAGTTTTAGTTTTATTTATTTTATTTGAGTTATTTATTTAGTTAGTTAGTTAGTTATTTTTAGTTTTAGTTTTATTTATTTATTTATTTAGTTAGTTAGTTAGTTAGTTTTAGTTAGTTTTAGTTTTAGTTTTTTTATTGAGTTATTTATTTATTTAGTTAGTTAGTTTTAGTTTTAGTTTTATTTATTTATTTATTTATTGAGTTAGTTTGTTAGTTAGTTAGTGCACATTATTTTTTACTATGGTCATTATTATTGACACCATTTTATTTCATGTCTATTAATTTTCAATCACACTGTGTAAAACGTGTCTGAAATTTATGTGATTAGATTAATTTTGCTCTGTAACTCAACATATCTGTGTGATTGATGATTTTTTAAGTTGAAGAAAATATTTTATTGTAAGATTATAGCAAAAAAAAAAAAAAAACATAATTAAAAAATGAATAATTTGCTTTACAATGAGAACACATTTATGGTCAATTTTCTTCACTTTGCGGACGAATTAAATACTGACATCAGTACATTTAGAGAGTTTTATTCATTCATTTTATTCACCCCCGTTACCATGACAACTGCGTTACAATTCGCTTCACAAAAATTCTAGAAATTAGTCTTGCCCTTTCCTTGTTTTTACATTAAATATATATATATTTTTACTCTAAACCGAAAATGCAGTCATTTTTATTTTTTTTTTTTGTATCGTAATCCTATGACCACATCGACAGCCAATGGGAAAAATGGGAAAAACGGGAGCAGGTTTGGACCAATCGGGAAAAGCGAGAGAGAAAGAAAAAAGAGAGAGGGAGAAGAGAAAAGAGATGTAGCGCCAAGGAAACAGATGGACTGATGTTACGGGGAAATAGCTCCGTCTAGTGGCGACAATGAGACTTAGAAGTTTAGTAAGAATATAAAGCTTTATGTTTTAAAAGATACAGAGCTCTGAAATGAATGAATTATGCATTAAATTTTGTTTGTTTTAATTTAAACTTTGTCTCTCATAAGTGAAATTTTAAATGCAAACTTGATGTTCATTCGCTGCTTTTCTTTCATTGTTTAACAGGGTTTGGCTTTATAAATTCAGTCGTGATCCATGGGTTTGTCGTCTATGTTTTGTTTTGTTTTGTTGTGCTGCTAAACTACTGACTACTACTACTACTACTACTACTACTACTACTACTGACTACTACTACTACTACTACTACTACTACTACTACTACTACTACTACTACTACTACTACTACTACTACTACTACTACTACTACTACTACTACTACTACTACTACTACTACTACTACTACTACTACTACTACTACTACGACTACTACTACTACTACTACTACTACTACTACTACTACTACTACTACTACTACTACTACTACTACTACTACTACTACTACTACTACTACGACTACTACTACTACTACTACTACTACTGACTACTACTACTACTACTACTACTACTACTACTACGACTACTACTACTACTACTACTACTACGACTACTACTACGACTACTACTACTACTACTACTACTACTACGACTACTACTACTACTACTACTACGCTACTACTACTACTACTACTACTACTACTACTACTACTACGACTACTACTACTACTACTACTACTACTACTACTACTACTACTACTACTACTACTACTACTACTACTGACTACTACTACTACTACTACTACGCTACTACTACTACTACTACTACTACTACTACTACGACTACTACTACTACTACTACTACTACGACTACTACTACTACTACTACTACTACTACTACTACTACTACTACTACTACTACTACTACTACTACTACTACTACTACTACTACTACTACTACTACTACTACTACTACTACTACTACTACTACTACTACTACTACTACTACTACTACTACTACTACTACTACTACTACTACTACTACTACTACTACTACTACTACTACTACTACTACTACTACTACTACTACTACTACTACTACTACTACTACTACTACTACTACTACTACTACTACTACTACTACTACTACTACTACTACTACGACTACTACTACTACTACTACTACTACTACTACTACTACTACTACTACTACTACTACTACTACTAGACTACTACTACTACTACTACTACTACTACTACTACTACTACTACTACTACTACTACTACTACTACTACTACTAGACTACTACTACTACTACTACTACTACTACTACTACTACTACTACTACTACTACTACTACTACTACTACTACTACTACTACTACTACTACTACTACTACTACTACTACTACTACTACTACTACTACTACTACTACTACTACTACTACTACTACTACTACTACTACTACTACTACTACTACTACTACTACTACTACTACTACTACTACTAAGACTACTACTACTACTACTACTACTACTACTAAGACTACTACTACTACTACTACTACTACTACTACTACTACTAAGACTACTACTACTACTACTACTACTACTACTACTACTACTACTACTACTACTACTACTACTACTACTACTACTACTACTACTACTACTACTACTACGACTACTACTACTACTACTACTACTACTACTACTACTACTACTACTACTACTACTACTACTACTACTACTACTACTACTACTACTACGACTACTACTACTACTACTACTACTACTACTACTACGACTACTACTACTACTACTACTACTACTACTACTACTAAGACTACTACTACTACTACTACTACTACTACTACTAAGACTACTACTACTACTACTACTACTACGACTACTACTACTACTACTACTACTACTACTACTACTACTACTACTACTACTACTACTACTACTACTACTACTACTACTACTACTACTACTACTACTACTACTACTACTACTACTACTACTACTACTACTACTACTACTACTACTACTACTACTACTACTACTACTACTACTACTACTACTACTACGACTACTACTACTACTACTACTACTACTACTACTACTACTACTACTACTACTACTACTACTACTACTACTACTACTACTACTACTACTACTGCTACTACTTCAAGTTCAGCTGGAGTTCTATCAGTGGGTAAATTTATTGTAGATGGTCAAAAATAGTAAAAAATCAGATTAACATAGAATAAGACCCATATCTGTCCATATTTGTCTTTTAAAGGATTTTTAATTTAAATTTAAATTTTTACAAGTGCCAGGTATGATGTTATAATAATAGTGATTTTGATTCGAATAGACGCAATACTCAACACAAGGGATGTAACAATAACCAAAATATCGTGATATCGTATCGTCAAGAGTTCTCACAGTAATATCGTGGACCATCATAATATACTGAATTACAAGATTTACGGTGCAGCAATAACTAAAAAAACAGAGAGAACTACATAGACCATGATCCTTTGCTCCATTTCAGTGCAGACTACAAGAAGAAAAAAATGTTCTAAGCACTTTTAAGTCTTATTTCTTTGGATTACACAAAATATCGCAATAAATATGGTACCGTGAGATGTATATCATGAAAATATCGTACAGAGAGATTTGGATATTGTTACATCCATAATCATGAGCCTCCCCATCATATCGTAAGCTTTCCCACGATATCGCAATAAATATCGTACCGTGAGCTTCGTACCGTGATGATATCGTATCGTTAGACTCGGATATAGTTACACCTTACTCAATACCAAACCTGATAATAAAAAAATACTCTTTATTTAGACAATAGAATGTGATTCAGTATAAAATAATATTGGTTCCACAGTGGTTCATGGGCGTATACTCATCTATGTGCTCTTGTACTTGTTCTGAAACAGCTCAAGATCGTTCTAAAGACATTCAGGAAAGCTTAATTTCTGTCCAGTGAATAGGATTTCTCTCATTTTCTCAAAAAAACTGACAAAAATGACTGAAGATAGTAAGGTAAAATGGCTATTTATACTAGTAGCAGTAGCCTTGAAGCAGCCAAATGACATTTTAGAGGTAAATTATTGCTCTATAGACTTTTTGAAGGAGTCAAACTTCATCTGTTTTAGACCAGTATTGAGTATTAAACAGCAGAAGAACTTGTAGAATGCTTTAAAAATGACAAATATGTCTTTAAATGAGAAAAACTGGCGTAACGTTTATAACAGTTTGAACAGAAAAAAAAAGGAGTGGGTGGGATTGCGTAAGTCTCAAGTAAATCTGAAGTCCTGTGTTTTAAATTATAAGTCCTTTTAAGCCTTTATCCCAAATTAATGACTATAACTTTTCTATTTTTACAATTTTTGTGAACTGTCCTATTTTAAAACTCCTATTGTCACAAATAGAGAAGTAGGTACGTGATCTAGTTCCTGTAAATCTGGGGAATGGTTCTGTGAAATAGCCACTGTGACAGATTACTTTGACTTATTGTTATGTTCGTTGTGTCCATATTGAAATAAACAATAAGTAAACAAGCACTGAAATATATAAAAAAGTAGAGAGAAGAGAGTTTCTAATTAGTTTTTTAGGAGAAGCGTCAAGTCTTACATTTACTTGAGTAACTTATAAAGAAATTGTACTTTTCAGAGCACTTTTCTAGCCTCATACTTTTACTCCTCCTTGAGTTATATTTGTACTGAAGTAGCAGAACTGTTACTTGAGTAAAAGTTGTGCTTCCTCTTTCCACTCTGAGTGAGTAGAAAGTGACAAAAGCTTTATGTGACAATATGAAATCATTTGAACGTTTGTGTTTCTTGCAGCGCGTCAGATCAGATTTCGTTTGTTTCATTTTTGTGTCGACTCAACTTAAAAAAATACAGTTTTGTGCGTTACTTAAAGGTGTATTGTGTAACTTGCTTGCTTTTCTCCATGGGGATGTTATTGCGTTGTCTGGAATGTTTCACAGTGTGGAATTAAACCTTTCTATCTTCATGGAGACCAAACCAGACCAAGTTACAGGTCAGATCTGTGGAGAGGCGACCCCGGCTCACAGTCAGAATGCTTTTTTTTTTTAGATATTTTTGAGCTGTAAAACCACCTGTAGTTGAATAAATGTAAGTTAGAACTGTTTAATGTCACACTGTGGAACATTCCAGACAGAGCAATGACATATCCATAGAAACAAGCAGGTGACAAACCCTCAACCAAAAAATGACACAGTGAACCTTTAATGTTTTGTCCTTCAAATTACATTCAATTCAAATTATAAAGCAGATGTTATGTCCTGATAATTACTTAAATAGTTTTCCCAAATACTTTTTTTGACTCTATTCGAATATTATTTTTAAGTAGCATTACTTTTACTTGAGTACAATTTTAGACCACTCTACCCCCCTCTGATAAATTAACCTTTTTTCAGTGTTGGAGATTTAAAAAAAAAAAAAATTGTCTTATTAATTACACACAACTGGGTGCGTAAACATGATACAACAACCGTGGCTTTGTGTCGTCAGCAGTTACATGTCGAGATGAGGGAGCAGAAACACAACATATTATATAATAACAGTAATAATACAACAACATAAAAAGTGCATTTGCATAGTACATAATATACTGTCTGTTGTCTATACTGTATATACTCCACATTCTGTTTATATCACACTTGCTGCTTCTTGCACTTCTGATTAGATGTTAAACCTCATGTCGTTATCTTGTATTTATACATATGTAGTAACAATAACGTTGAATCTATCTATCTAATCTATCTATATTTCAGAGATTTTATGTATAATTTTTACAAACATCCTGCTCCTGTTTTTGATATAAATACGTTTTTATTCTATGTACTTTCTGTTGTACATAGAGTTGCTTTTTTTCTTCACTAATTTACAAATACAGGTGTGGTGATGATAAAATCAGAGAGATGTATGTGTTAGGATCCTGGATTGTATAGTATGAATGTTGTCTTTGTGTTGTGTTTGTCTTTTGTTCTGTTTTGATTTGTTTTTTTGTTTCTTTTCTGAAAATGCCATTTTTGTTAATGTATTTAGAACCAAACAATATGCTACATCTCAAGGGGCTTCACTTATAAATAAATAAATTAAAATAAATAATTTTTAAAAAATTCTGAGTTTTACATTTGTGGATGTAAAATTTGGCAAGACACAACCAAGTTCTTCTTTTTTATTTTGAAATAATAAATGTCAGTATTGGACATGGAGAGGAGCATAGACCATATACATGAATTTTAATGTTTAATTTATATATTTAATTTAATATTTTTTATACAGTGTGTGGAGCTGAGTTTTACATTTGTGGATGCAAAATTTGGCAAGACACAATATTCAATTTACACCAAGTTCTTCTTTTTTGTTTTAAAATAATATACCAAAAATGTCAGTTCATGTAAATGTATAGATGAATTTTAATATTTAACTTTTATATATTTAATTTAATATTTTTTATACAGTGTGTGGAGCTGGAGAGGGGCAAAGGCTGACGTAAGGCGACGGGGTCTGGACACTCTTTCTTCACTAATTTACAAATATAGGTGTAGTGATGATAAAATCAGAGAGATGTATGTGTTAGGATCCTGGATTGTATAGTATAAATGTTGTGTGTGTGTTGTGTTTGTCTTTTGTTCTGTTTTGATTTGTTTTTTTCTTTCTTTTCTGTAAATGCTATTTTTGTTAATGTATTTAGAACCGCCTTGCAAACAATATGCTACATCTCAAGGGGCTTCACTTATAAATAAATAAATAAAAATAAATAAGTAAAAATCTAAGTTTTACATTTGTGGATGTAAAATTTGGCAAGACACAATATTCAATTTACACCAAGTTCTTCTTTTTTATTTTGAAATAATATACCAAAAATGTCAGTTCATGTAAATGTAGAGATGAATTTTAATATTTAACTTTTATATATTTAATTTAATATTTTTTATACAGTGTGTGGAGCTGGAGAGGGGCAAAGGCTGACGTAAGGCGATGGGGTCTGGACACTCTGCGCATGCGCGGAGGGGGGACACTGGACGCAACCGTTAGAAAAACCGATTAGGAAACTGCGCTCCGATCATCCCCGCGCGCCGCCGCCATTTTGGCTCAAACTCCCGTAGAAAACCAACGGCGGGGCTCCGTCGCTCCGGGAGCCATTTTGGGGCTCAGTTTCCCGGAGCGTTGAGGGAGGAGCCGTGGGTTTCTGGAAGTCGGGGGGAGCCAGTCAAAGCCAGCCAGCCCAGCACCACCAGCAGCAGCAGCATCTATCTATCCATCCGAGGCGCTGGGGCTAAAGAAACCCGATATTAGTGTATGAAAAGGCGGCTGAGGAGACCAAGGAGGAGCGGGCGCCGACAAGATGCGGCTTCGTCCGGACTCGGGAAGCTAAAGCCCTAACGTGGTGTCATTTAGCTTGGATTATTAGTGCTATCGGCTGGGGAGCAATTTCGAAACAAGACACCTGGTTATTGCATCGACTCCTGCTTGCGTTTTTTTTCCAAACCCCGACCCGAGCTAGCCATTTTCACCAGGAGCATCTCGGAACTCGGATGCTGCCCGCTGGCTCCTTTACTACCTCCGCTGCTCGCCGCCGCCGCCGCCGCTACTTGTGGAAGATGCACCGCAAAAACGAAGCGCTAGGTTAGCCCCAACAGCCGAAAACATGCGATGAAAGCCGTTTCGTGTGATCTGTCGAGGAAATTCTCCACGCCCTCGGGTCTGGATGGTGCTTATCTAGCTCGGAGGCCAGCCGTAGGAGCGCTGGGGACGGGAAGGTGGGGCGGCTGACAGCTAATGATGCTAACAGGCTAACTATATTGGATGTCCATTGCTTTTCCTCCTCTATTTTCTCAGCACTGACAACAAAACTATCAGATTTCAACCAGTCTGCAAGATTAACATTCAGATATCCAAGGTATTTCTGCATAAAACAACGCATTGCAATCTATTGGCATAACTAAAAAGACACATTCGGTTTTTTTTTAAAGGGGAATTCTGCAAAAAAGGACTTAAATTTTGCACCATGGCAGACGACGACGTACTGTTTGAGGATGTCTACGAGCTATGCGAGGTCATTGGGAAGTAAGTAAGCACAAAACATGCACCAAATTCACCTGATCTCATTTGAATCCATTCATGAAAATCAAAAAGGGAGTGACAGTCGAGCAGAATTGGGTGAAACATGTACAATTGAAGCCATAAAGTTACACAGATTGTCATGACATTGTGAAATATTTCTTCTGAGAGTGTACTTACATGATTATAACACAAGTATTATCTTTTCACATGTTATTTTCCAGTCCAAGGGCCCATTTTACACTATTTTCTGATCTATAATGTTGTTTCCTCGTCACAAACAGACCTGGAGTTGTGTTTTGTTTAATTCACACATGTTTAACAGACGCATGCCCTGCATATTTATCAGTTGAGTTCTTCTCTCAAACCTTAAACACTCATGTGAAAATAGAGAAAGTGAAAAGTAAAAAAAGGAGCTGTTAACTTGAAAACTACCACTACATGACATCACAAGGTGGAACAGAGCCTTTTGAGCATTGAGGATGTAGTCAGACTAATAATAAAGGATTAATCAAACATGAATAAAACAGAAACACAACTTCAGGTCTGTTTTTGAGGAGGAAATAACACTACAACAAGACTTAAACCCCACAACAGTCAATTTTGTGTAATATAGGACCATTAAATTGGTTTAAAAACTTAGATAACCAAAAGTGACATGATTTATTAACTAATTTTATAATACACATTACATGTAACTGAATGGATAACATATTATATCCAATTCCGTGCTAGTTTTTGTGGAGACTGGAGAAAATTTGTATAATACAGTTGTAATGCAGTAGTTACAACAGAAGTAACAGCTGAAGTAGCAACAGTAATAGTAACAGTAGTAACAACAGTAGTAGCAGTGGTAGTAATAGTAGTCGTAACAGCAGTAGTAACAGAAGTACAGAAGCAATAGTAACAGCAGTAGTAACAGCATAAACAACAGCAGTAGTAACAGCAGTACAATAGCAGTAGTAACAGTAATAGTAACAGTAATAGTAGTAACATCAGTAGTAATGGCAGAAGTAACAGCAGTAGTAATAGCAGTACAATAGCAGTAGTAACAGTAGTAACATTAGTAGTAATAGCAGTAGTAACAGTAGTAACATCAGCAGTAACAGCAGTAGTAGTAACAGTAGTAACAGCAGTAGTAACAGTAGTAACAACAGTACTAGTAATAGTACTAATAACAGTAGTAACAGCAGTAGTAGTAACAACAGTAGTAGTAATAGTAATAATAACAGTAGCAGCAGTAGTAGTAACAGTAGTAGTAACAGCAGTAGTAGTAGTAACAGTAGTAGTAACAGCAGTAGTTACAGCAGTACAATAGCAGTAGTAACAGCAGTAGTAATTGCAATTGTAATTTGAGTCGTATCTTAAATTTAGCTCTAAAGGTGACATGAGGCCACCTGGATGAGTTCCAATCTGCTCACATATCTCCACAAGTGCAAACGAGGCCAGGTGTAACATGTATAAGAACTTCTATTAATAAATAAACGTGTATGAAATTGTGGTTTTATTCACAATGCCGGTCCGGGAGCGCTGACATTTGAGAGAAGACTGAAATCTGAACTGATGAAGTAATGTAAGAATCCCGTGTATTTCAGAACACGTTTGTAGAGTTCGAAACTACAGAGTGAGCAGCTTTTACACAGAATAATAATGAGACACAGGGAGGGCATCTGACACGCACACACATTGTATTACTTATTAAATATTTGTGTATTGTACAAGACTAGAACCAGGACTAAACCAGGTCTAAACCAGGGAGTCAACCAGGGACTAAATCAGGTCTAAACTAAGTCTAAAGCAGGTCTAAATCAGCCCCAAACCAGCCCTAAACCAGGGACTAAACCAGGTCTAAACCAGGGAGTCAACTAGGGACTAAATCAGAGACTAAACCAGGGACTAAACCAGGTCTAAACCAAGTATAAAACAGCCCCAAACCAGCCCTAAAGCAGGTCTAAAACAGATCTAAACCAGGACTAAACCAGGTCTAAACCAGGGAGTCAACTAGGGACTAAATCAGGGACTAAAGCAGGGACTAAACCAAGTCTAAACCAAGTATAAAGCAGGTCTATAACAGCCCCAAACCAGCCCTAAACCAGGGACTAAAGCAGGTCTAAAACAGATCTAAACCAGCCCTAAACCAGGTCTAAATCAGGTGTAAACCAGGGACTAAACCAGGGACTAAACCTGATCTAAACCAGGTCTAAACCAGGGACTAAACCAAGTTTGAACCAGCCCTAAACCAGGACTAAACCAGGTCTAAACCGGGGACTAATCCAGGTCTAAAACAGCCCCTAATCAGCCCTAAAGCAGGGACTAAACCTGGTCCAAACCAGCCCTAAACAAGGGGCTAAACCAGGGACTAAACCAGGTCTAAATCAGGCCTAAATCAGCCCTAAACCAGATCTAAATTAGGACTAAACCAGCTGTAAACCAGGGACTAAATCAGGTCTAAACCAGGTCTAAAAGCGGCATAAAAGAGGACAAACAAAGAACAGGCTTAGCAGCTTTTCCACAGAATACGACCCCGTGGAGACGCAGGGACATTTAGTTCTCAAAGAGGACATTATATTACCTAATTACAATTTTAATTTGATTCTCATTTTGCTGCTCAAATTTCAGTCGTTCAGCACGGAAGAAGAACACGTCTGTAATCCAGGGACTTTTGGTTTTCTTAAGTGACATATGCTGTTGCTTTTCTGTGTTCTACATTTAGATTAGAACAAAATAAACCACAAAAGGGAAGTGCTATTTGAGGTGTGACGGAAGTGGTTGAACTTGAGTACGTTTTTGTTGTTGTTGTTGTTGTTAGGGGAAAGTGAAGTGTTTGATTTGATTGTCGAGGTTGGGCCCGTGTCTCGTCTGCGTTTGACCCGTCCTTCAGTGTCTCCGGGTTAAAGACTCGTATCAAATGTTGGTCGAGGGAAAAAATATCTGTTCAGCTCATATCCTGGTCGGTTTTATTCATGACGTTCAGCTTCCTGTTCCAGGCGACATTTTGAGGACTTTTCACCATTTTTAAAAGCTTCAGTGTTTAGTTTTAAATGGTTAGTTACTATAGCAACGGTCTTAATTTTCCACCATTCTGAAACCTGAGGATAAGTTGATGTAATAAGACTGTTTATTACTACTACTACTACTACTTCTACTACTACTACTACTACTACTACTACTACTACTACTACTACTACTGCTACTGCTACTACTGCTACTACTACTACTACTACTACTACTACTACTACTACTACTACTACTACTACTACTACTACTACTACTACTACTACTACTACTACTACTGCTACTACTGCTACTACTACTACTACTAACTACTACTACTACTACTACTACTACTACTATTACTGCTACTATGCTACTACTACTAGTACTGCTACTGCTAATATGACTGGTACTACTAAAACTACTTCTATTACTGCTACTGTTATTATTACAACTACTACTACTACTGTTATGGTTATTATTAATATCACTACTACTACTACTACTACTACTACTACTACTACTACTACTACTACTACTACTACTACTACTACTACTACTACTACTACTACTACTACTACTACTACTACTACTACTACTACTATTACTACTACTACTACTACTACTACTACTATTACTACTACTACTACTACTACTACTACTACTACTACTACTACTATTACTACTACAACTAATATTACTGCTACTACTACTACTACTACTACTACTACTACTGCTGCTACTGCTGTTACCACTACTACTGCTACTACTAAAATTACTACTACTGTTACGGTTATTATTACTATGACTATTATACTACTACTACTACTATTACTACTACTACTACTATTATTACTACTACTATTATTACTACTACTACTATTATTACTACTACTATTACTACTACTATTACTATTACTGCTACTACTATTACTACTACTACTACAATTATTTTTACTACTACAACTACTATTACTACTACAACTAATATTACTATTACTACTACTACTACTATTACTGTTTTTATTACTACTACTACTACTACTACTACTACTACTACTACTACTACTACTACTACTACTCTACTACTACTACTTCTACTACTGTTTTTATTCCTACTACTACTACTGCTATTGTTACCTCTACTACTGCTACTACTACTACTTCTACTACTACTAGTACTGCTACTGCTTCTACGACTGCTACTACTAAAACTACTTCTTCTATTACTACTACTGTTTTTATTACTACTACTACTACTACTACTACTACTACTACTGATACCGCAACTGCTACTGTTTCCACTACTACTGCTACTACGACTGCCACAACTAAAACTACTTCTACTATACTATTACTACTACCACCACTAAAACTTCTACTACTGCTACTATGGCTGCTACTACCAAAACTACTACATCTATCACTACTACTCTTACCGTTAGTACTGTATAAGTCCTTGAGTTTGATTTAAATAGTGTGTTTTTTGTGACATTTTGACTGATGGATGGTTTCACTTCACAAACTCGGGGCTGTTTTTATTGTTTTGTGTCGTCGCCGCGGGAACAGAATGAGAAATTAACTTTAGCGCCCGTTTTGACACCGTGTTTTATTGATAGAACCGAACAGTGCGGCGACTTGGGTTTCGTACGGTCTGGAAACCTTCTTGTTACTATGGAAACGACGCTGCTCTGCCCGGAATGTCCCACAGTGCGACATTAAACAGCTCTAACTTTACATTTGTTCTATTTATAAGTGGTTTTATTCCTCAAAAATGCCAAGACAAACAGGCACGGTTTGGTCTCCATGACGATAGAAAGCTTTATTGCCACCAGACCCTCCACCAGAAAAGTTACGCAATGCATCTTTAACACTAGTTTGCAAGAAAATTATGTTACCTAAATAATTGCAATGTCTTTTTTCTTTTGGTAGTTGCAACAATTCAGTTAAACTAAAATGACCAGAACGAGTCTAGTGAAGGTGAACGGACTTTAAAAACGCAAAGGAGCACT